CTTATAACCTACATACCTTTGGCTATTGTTAGGGTAGAGGTTAGAAATGAAGGTTGCTCAGTACCTAATGATGACAAATGAGCTGCATTGGTGGCATGCTCGGGGCTGAAATTACAAGCTGGTTATCGAGAATGCGTGCCAAGGCTTCATTTGACAAGATGTCACGACATTCACGCCTACACACACGTGATAAGTGCTTCGTGACATGACAAATTCTGCTCAGTAACGCGTCTCAGTAACAAGCGGGCGCTCTATAGTGACGCTCTCTGCTCAGTAACGCGTCTCGGTAACAAGCGCGTCTCGGTAACAACAAAAAATACGTCCATCACCACCACCCATCATCCCCCCAGTGAGGGAAAAGGGGGTCATGCAGCGGCTGTGGGGGCGAGCGGTGGGCGACGCGGGGGCGGCAGCGCCCTTCGTGTACACGGCGGGGGGCGGTAGGGGCGCCGCCCCCACCGTCAACTTGCGGTCCATCGCAACAGTGCAGAGCATCGCAGCCAAGAAGGTGGCTACCACAAAATATAGTGTCTATTTTACAGGATAATTTAGCTGACTTTTATTTACTTATTTTTATTGTGGTGATGTTGCACGAAAACGTCATGCAACATATTTAACATACTTCAACATATTCGACATTATGCAGTATACTTAACACACTTGAACACATTCAAACTCATGAAATGAACTTAACATACTTTAACACATTCAACGTCATGCAACATACTTAACATACTTCAACATATTCAACGTCTTAACATAACATAACATAGTGATGTCGGCGCTGAAGTGTAGGCCTGATGTGGCCTGTCGCCGATTCTTTTCCTTTTCGTGCCTAAATCTCTAATCATGCAATGTACTTAACATACTGCAACATATTCAACAATAAATCACTTCAGAAATGTCATGCATATATATCACTGTAGCGCCACACTGTTATAGACTCACTCACAATAGCAACAATTTCAGCCAAATCATTATAATAAAAGATGCTTTGAGCACCTATTAGACTTAATTAGATGTAATTCAACATATTAGACTTAATTAGATGTAATTCAACATATTAGACTTAATTAGATGTAATTCAACATATTAGACTTAATTAGAAGTAATTCAACATATTAGATTTAATTAGAAGTAATTCAACATACTAGAGTTAATTAGAAGTAATTCAACATACTAGAGTTAATTAGAAGTAATTCAACATATTAGAGTTAATTAGAAGTAATTCAACATATTAGACTTAATTAGAAGTAATTCAACATATTATATTTAATTAGAAGTAATTCAACATACTAGAGTTAATTAGAAGTAATTCTACATATTAGACTTATTTAGAAGTAGTTCAACAAATTAGAGTTAATCAGAAGTAATTCTACATACTAGAGTTATTTAGAAGTGATTCAACATACTAGAGCTAATTAGAAGTAATTCAACATATTAGAGTTGTTTAGAAGTAATTCAACTTATTAGAGTTAATTAGAAGTAATTCAACATATTAGAGTTGTTTAGAAGTAATTCAACTTATTAGACTTAATTAGAAGTAATTCAACATACTAGAGTTAATTAGAAGTAATTCAACATATTAGAGTTGTTTAGAAGTAATTCAACTTATTAGAGTTAATTTGAATTAATTTAACATATTAGAGTTAATTAGAATTAATTCAACCTACATTTGTTATATGTGTCCAGGCGAGCCTACAGGCGCAGGTGATAGCGCAGTACGTGTTCGGCTACGTCACCCTCGCCTACAAGTTCTCTAAGGAGAAAAAGTGAGCGTCGCAGGCTGAACTTTTATTAAATCAATTAATATTAATATATGAACTTTATTAAGTTGATGCCACTTGAGTCGCCATAACATTTATGTCGCCGGTATTCCATATAAACGATCTATTTTATAAAGATAATTTAATCACAACTCTGTAGCGAGATCGAAACCCTTTGTAGTTATTATGTGGCAATTGAACCCTACAAATCCTATAGTTCTGGGCAGTATTATATGGTTTCTAGTGACGAGTGGCGAGTTTAGTGTAGTATCTGTTGAGTGGTGGTGACTGCGTTATTGCCTGTTGAAGTGCAGTAATCAATCCAACTTTAAGGTCACTATCAACACAATACCGGTTGAATTTACTGTTCAATCATCCGTTCATCATTTCCATGATGACACCTGAATCGAGGCAGCCAATATATTTAAAAAGTACACTGTACGCATTGCTTTTTAGCGCATTTTCTCATTTATGGAAAAAAGGCGCTATTGTGCACGTCATGTCCGTCCGTCCGTCTGTCCGTGACTACACGTTTTCGTCGACGAGAAAATGCGCTCTCTGTCACTCACTGCAGTGAGTACTGAGTTATATTTCTTAACATTTCTGATAATTGCTGGTTACGTCAACAACGTTACGTCTCGCCAGGCTCGAGGTGGACGTCTTAGCCGTTACAAAACTGCCGAGGGGCGACGGGCCGTCCACCGTGGACGGGGCGGAATGCGACGTTAAAATCCCGTCCCTGAAGTACGTCGACATCGAGGTGAGGGACGAATTACAATTTCGTAATTAATGTTCATTTCCCCATCAATGGTGTTTACAATTTAACAATTAATGGTGATTACAATTTCGTAATTAATGTTCATTTCACCATCAATGGTGTTTACAATTTAACAATTTATGGTGAATACTATTTCATAATTATTGTTTATTTCACCATCAATGGTGTTTACAATTTAACAATTAATGGTGATTACAATTTCATATTTATTGTTCATTCCACCCTCAATGGCGCCCGTAGGTGTGTCTGCGGCCTCTCAAGGGCCGCGAGCTCCAGCAGAAGGTGAAGAAATTCCGTACCGGCGAGGAGCCGGACGATGACCTGCCCTTCGAACCGGAGTGCTGCTTCCGGGTACTGGGGCACAGCATGGGGCACAGCATGGGGCACAGCATGGGGCACAGCATGGGGCACAGCATGAGGCACAGCATGGGGCACAGCATGGGGCACAGCATGGGGAAGATATTTACGACCAATTCTTAATACACAATAACACTTTTTAATATTTGAGAACAATATTTAATAGTGAAACACAAATAATAATCAATAATTTGTAATATTTAAGAAGAGATTTTAATACATAAGAAGCATTATTGTTCACAGACGAAGAGCTTAGAGGGGAGTGTGCTGGTGCTGTCGGTGCGGCGGCGGCGGGAGCGGCGGGCGGTGGACCACCGTCAGGACCTCGGAAACGCCATCGTCAGGATGTCACGTCAGGACGTTGTCAGCCCGGCGGTCGTCAGGAGGACGCTGCCCTTGCGACACGGAACGATGGTCAGCCATCTGTGGACAGCATCACAAGCACTCAGACAAATGAATGAGTCAAATTTTTCATCTACTGACACTTTATATTATATGTTATATTATTCATGTACTGACACTTTAATCACCTACAGTACGAGCAGTGAACACACGTAGCACTGATACCTTATTTTGCTTGACTAAACTTAGCCAGAATGACCCAAATCGATATTTGGACAATGACCATCTCTTTTCTCTGAGTGCATTGATTGAATTTAATTTCAGGATCGGAACTTTAATGCCCAGATATTATTCATCTCAAATCCACGGTGTCGATTTTGAAATTTCAGTAATCTAAACTAGTAATTACGGGTTACTCTAGTACTGTATAGATTACTGTAATCTATTCTAGAGTAATTGCAGGTCACGCTTATGTAGTATAAATTAAAGGTATCTTTACTAGAGTAATTGCAGGTTAATTTAGTATAGAATCCTATTCTATACTAGACTAGTAGACTTTAGTATAGAATCCTAATCTATACTTTAGTATAGATTAGATCTACTCTATACTTTAGTATAGAATCCAAATCTATACTAGACTAATAGCACGCTACTCTCGTATAGATTACTGGAATCTATTCTACAGTAATCGCACGTTAATCTAGTACAGATTATTGTAATCTATACTAGAGTAATTATAAGGTTAATCTAGTATATATACCAGTAGCACAATAATAACTGAGCACAAGAGCTAACCTCGCATGTGTGGGGTACAGCAACAAGACCTGAAGGGGTCGGTGCTGCTGGAGCTGAAGTGTGGGCACCCCACGGGGGGCGTGGCCGAGCTCGGCCTCAGCGTCCGCCTGCTGCAGTTCGTGGACGTGGCGCCCCTGGGTGTCAGCATCAACATGGTCGACGACAAAGGTCATTACCATTCTTTTTATCAACGCATTTATCTATTTGATGATTTTTTAGCAATTACTACTTCTCTTTTTTTTAATTTTTTATATATTGATATCATTTTATATCATTTATATAATATTAAGTTTACCGCTTTTAAAATTCTTAATAACTTAATACGTAATTTGGAAATGCGGAATAAAAAAATTAACAAATTAATTATAAATGATTAGCCAAATGGACGAAAATTCTTGTAATTGTAGAAGATAAATCAATGAGTGATTAACGATGATGTCCGAATATTAATCAAACGCTTAATTTTTCGAAATAAATGCAATAATATCACCCTTGCAACTTTTCTTAAATGAACGCTCCTCGCAATACTGAGAAATATTTTTATATATTTATTTTGGTTGAATAGGTGAATAATTTGGTTGAAGCGATGAATAATTTTTGTATAAAAATAAATTTTTGAATAAAAATCAATAATAATAACTATAGAACCAACAAATAATAATAACTATTATTCATACAGTTAAGCCAGAGATCAAGATAAGGACTCAGCTGCTGGGGAGCGAAAAGTCAGGCTTGGGGAAGGCTCACGACTTCCCCTGGCTGGGGCTACAGAACAACTCCCGTCGCCTCCCCACCGACCCTGTGGGGGACTTCGGGGGTTGGGGCACCCTGTTCCCCCAGGGTTGCTACACCTCCAAGCTGGTCCCCGAGACCGAACTGAACTCTTATTCGCTGAGCTTTGTTGTTAATGTAAGTTCGTTGTTAGTGTATCCCATTCACTCACGAGAATGATTGGGTCCGACCCTAATCATTCCTATTTAGAGATTGGGTCCTATTTAGAGTCGATTGGGTCCTACCCGATTGGGTCCTATTTAGCGTCGATTGGGTCCTACCCGATTGGGTCCTATTTAGCGTCGATTGGGTCCTACCCGATTGGGTCCTATTTAGCGTCGATTGGGTCCTACCCGATTGGGTCCTATTTAGAGTCGATTGATTGGATTGTCCAACCCTAAGAAAATTTAGAGTCGCCCCAGCTTCTGGTAATCCAAATCAGAAGCTGCCGCGTCTGTAAATTTTCACTGGGGAATAATTATGACAGACTTAATGCACGTGGCACTGAAGCGCAATTTTTACACATGAGCCAAAAAATACATCGCTATATGAACAAAGTTCTACTCATTCCTTTGAGTGAGCCTAACTTTAGAATGACACGGGAGTTATTAGATCAGAAATTTTAACTTGTGGAGCATGATTTGCATGCTGCAAAACCTCAACACTCATTAACTAAATAATTGAGATTATTATTAAGCTCATTACTACAATAATAACGAAATATTTTTAACTGAAAATAAACGTTCGTCTCATTGATGTAAACATTTCTTCGCTAACAGCGAGCATGAATTGGGCTTCGGTTTCCCTTGAAGTTCTTATTCTATGTTATCAGAAACGTGTAATTCGATACAATATTTTAATTTAAATCTAATGTAAGCTAACCATAAACCAAATATTCCCAATATTGGATCATTTGATCCAATTTTGAGGTGCACACTCATTTCCGCAGCTATATAAACTTTTTCATAACTTAATATGAAACTTTTGCACTTCTTCCCGCCGTTTCAATTTTGAAAAAAACGTTCGGTAAAATCCAATGTAATGTTACAATTAAGCTAAACCTAATAAGAAAATAATAATTACTGCAAGTTTGTTTCCGTAACAATGTAGGTAATTAAAAATGAAATTAAGTATATTTTACGGTCGTAACAATGTAGGTAATTAAAAATGAAATTAAGTATATTTTACGGTCATAACAATGTAGGTAATTAAAAATGAAATTAAGTATATTTCACGGTCATAACAATGTAGGTAATTAAAAATGAAATTAAGTATATTTATTCACAATTTACGGCAGGTTTACGGCCGTAACAACGTCGGCGCGGCGGCCAAGAAAGAAGTGTTGCTGGGCGCCGTGGTGCTCGGCCCTGAACTGCGCTGCTCGTCTGGGACAACTGACGTGAGTAGTGACGTGTACCTGCCCGTCGTGACGTGTACCTGCCCGTCGTGACGTGTACCTGCCCGTCGTGACGTGTACCTGCCCGTCGTGACGTGTACCTGCCCGTNATTAATATCCTGGTGTCGTCCGCGAATGACGATGCAGTGGCGTGGTTCACTGCCACATCTATGTCGGCGATGTGGATGAGGAAAAGGATTGGGCCGAGTACCGTTCCCTGTGGTACTCCACTCTTCACCTTAGCCACGCTCGATCTCGAGCCTCCAACAACTACAGCTTGTAGTCTTTCTGTTAGGAAGCTGTGGATCCATGCCAGCAATTCACCTCCGACTCCCAGCAGTCTTAATTTTCTGAAGAGCACTCCATGGTCAACTTTTTCAAACGCTTTCGCGAAGTGTGAATACACCACGTCCACCCCGGCTCCCTCCTTCAATTTGGCCATAATTTGGTGGTGACGTAATACCGCTTCGTTTTTGATGTACTTGAAGAAAATTAATGTAAAGTCTAATTGTTATTCACAGAAATAAATATTTTGATGGCGTAATCATTATGATGCTACAACACGAGGTAAGGAGGGGGGGAAGAGAAGATATAATAACGAGCGTTTTCTTTTCCCCAGGACGGCAGCCTCACGCAGTGGGGAGAAGCGCTAACCAAACGCACTGCAGTGGAGCAACTGCACAGACTGCACCTCTGAACACTGCACGGCCTGCACCTCAGAACACTGCACCTCTGAACACTGCACGGACTGCACCTCTAAACACTGCACTTCTGAACACTGCACGGACTGCACCTCTGAACACTGCACTGTAACAACTGCATACACTGCACATCAGGATGGCATGTGTCGCAGTTAAAGGAAAAGGAAACAAATTCGACGAGTAGCTTTAATGTTACGAAGGCCCTGCGTGGGCACAACAGATGTACTTATAGTACAAATGCACTGTAATATATAATACAATTGTCTGCATAACATATCAAATAATTTACAATTCAGGTAGGAATAGCATTAGAATTGAGGGTTCAACACGAAACGTTATAGAGGTCTTATATTTCCAAGATTTATTTATGTATAATAATTTATATAACAATTGTTTCGTACTGCAAGTAATGATAGGTTAGGTTATATCAGTTTAGTAAGTATAACTGCCTGATATATTTATAGCCGTAGGCATTTTGAAAATATCTAAGATGCAAATTCGTGCAATTTTTCATTTAAGTGTTTATATATAGTTGCCCTATTGTGGATATAAATATTTAATTATTAATGGTACGAGCTTTCTCTTGATAAGGTCAATGGATAAAAGGTTTTTATAGTAAAACTGACATTTCTGAAGGATTTATTGACCCACTTCAGAGCTTGACTCACTTGCAATCCATAATCCTCATGTACGGATATCACAAAAAATTCTCCGTACGAATAGCACTAAAACGACACATTTACCTCTCACTAACACTACAAACTCTTGTATTTGTACAACATTTTACTTTACTATACAAACATACGAGACCGACGTACATTGCAGAACAATGTTCTTAACGAACTACATTCGTGTATAGAAACGTCGCTGTGTTCGTGCAAACTTAAAGTTTAAATAAACATTAACGTAAATTGCATGTCTTGTTCCAGTTATACATGTGTTCTTTAGGTGACATGAGCACACATACGTGTGACACATGTGTGAACTGGTGGCATGTGTGAACTGGTGGCATGTGTGAACTGGTGGCATGTGTGAACTGGTGGCATGTGTGAACTGGTGGCATGTGTGAACTGTGTGACCAGAAAACAACAAGCGGCAGGACAATAACTGTTCTCGTATAATATTCAAGAACAGTTTCTCAAAGCGAAGTTTTGGTATTGTAATACAGTATTACAGTATGTAATATTGTAATACTGTATTCCAATACCAAGAACTGGTATTGGAATACAGTATTGTTGTGTACAGTGCAGTAACATATATTGTTGTGTACAGTGCAGTTAGTGGTCGCATCTGCCAGTCCTTACCCAAAATAAACTAAATTTATGACAGAAAATATACGCAAGTTTTGACCCGCGCTTCAAACACAAATTCTGTTCCCTTGACACAACAATGTTGGGTTGTAGTGGGTTGAACGTCGCACAAAGTTGTAGTGGGTTGAACGTCGCACAAAGTTGTAGTGAATTGAACATCGCACAAAGTTGTAGTGGGTTGAACATCGCACAAAGTTGTAGTGGGTTGAACATCGCACAAAGTTGTAGTGGGCAGAACATCGCTAAGTCGTCATCGGGTTAACCTCTAAACTTCAATTGAATCAAACGTAAAAAAACGTTATTTTACCGTCAAATTTACGTGTGCAACGGATTCTGATAGGGATTAAACGAGCAACTTTCCTCATTGCCCAAACATTTGCATGATAACTTAGTATTACTGATGAAAATACGGCGCACTTTCTTGCCATTAGACAAGATAAGATTCATCAATACATGCAAATTTCATCAATAAGATTCATCAATGAATGCAAATTCATCGTCAACATTTCCAGCCGCGCGTGACGACCGAATGAGTATATTCACTCATCAAAACATTACTCATTCAAAGATTATTCTCATAACATTAATGCTCCATGAATGAAACATAACTCCCCAACCCCGGGGTTGTGGTTCACTCCTCATCCTCTTCCTCGGGGAATTCCAATATGGCGCGTCCCAGGATTTGCCCCTTGCCGATTTTTGCGATGGCTTCGTTGGCGCAATCCGCGGGGAAGATGTGGTGGGGAGGAGGCTCGATCTGCACGATAATCAGGGGGATTAGTGGTGGGGAGGAGGCTCGATCTGCACGATAATCAGGGGGATTAGTGGTGGGGAGGAGGCCCTCACCGCGTTGGTGGACACCAGATGGACACCAGCAGCAGCACTCACCGCGTTGGTGGACATCAGATGGACACCAGCACCAGCAGCACTCACCGCGTTGGTGGACATCAGATGGACACCAGCAGCAGTACTCACCGCGTTGGTGGACACCAGATGGACAAGTTCCTTGAGCTGGTCCAGACTGCCCAGCTGGACGGCCAGCAGCTGGTGGTCGCTGCTCTGGGCCTCCTTCGTGTAGCGCGCCAGGAAGCTCTCCGCGTGCTCCGCTGACACCAGGATCACGCCGCCCTGCAAGTGTTGTTATTATCAACGGTCATGTTTTGTGTACATTGTTTAAATTGTAATATTATTGATCAAATTTTATTGTTATTGGTAAATTGTTGTTGTTATTGATCAAATTTTGTTGTTATTGGTAAATTGGTGTTATTGGTCAATTTTATTGTTATTGATCAAATTTTGTTGTTTTGTTATTGGTCAATTTTATTGTTATTAGTCAATTTTATTGTTATTGGTCAAATTTGATTAATATCGATTAATTTTTTAAATAAATGGTCAAATGGCCTTTCGTTACGGGCGATATATACGGCGCATTTTGGTATATAATGTGATCAACCATGCGGGCACATGGTTTATCTTGATTAAATCCTTAAGATCAGCTACAAATTATTGTTGGAATTTTAAGCTAGCAAATAGACAATCGATAAGTTCAGGTATATAATAAATGTCTGTGTCTATATATTCATTATAATAAATGAAAAAATGTTTATATAATAGAAAAATGAGACATAAATAATTGGTCACAAGAAAACAAAATAAGATGACTTGATAAAGGAGAACCAGAAGGCCGGAGAGAATAAGAAGAAGACAGGCAGAAAGAAGGAACACTTTATGGAGAAGGAAAAAGCAAAGGAATCATAATAAGAAGTTTAGGGAGGATGAAGAAGGCCAGGCAAAAAGAAGGCAGGGGGGGAGAAGGCAGGGGGGAGGGAGGTCATGAAAATAAAGTCCGATATGAAGAGAAGAGTAAGGCAATGAGAAGAAGGCAGATAATAAGAAGGCAGGTAATAAGAAGAAGGCAGGTAATAAGAAGAAGGCAGGTACGGTAATGTAGATGAAGGCAGATAATAAGAAGAAAGCAGGTAATAAGAAGAAGGCAGGTAATAAGAAGGCAGGTAATAAGAAGAAGGCAGGTAAGAAGAAGAAGGCAGGTAATAAGAAGGCAGGTAATAAGAAGAAGTGCAGAGCATCGCAGCCAAGAAGGTGGCTACCGCCAGATAATATTTCCTGTTTTACACTATAATTTAAGAGAGTTTTCCTTAATTATTTTAATTGTGCTGAAATTGAACTAAAACCTCATGCAAAATACTTAACATGCTTCAACACATTCAACATCATGCTCAACAACAACATGCTTAACATACTTCAACACATTCAACATCGTGCTCAACAACAACATGCTTAACATGCTTCAACACATTCAACATCGTGCTCAACAACAACATGCTTAACATACTTCAACACATTCAACATTATGCAACATACTTGACATACTTTAATACATTCAACAATGAATGAGTTGAGAAATGCCATGCATGTATATATATCACTGCAGCGCCCCCACTGATGTATAGGCTCACTCATTCCAACCACAATAGCAACAACTTCAACAAAATCATTATAATAAAAGGCATTTTGAACACCTATACTAGACTGAATTAAAACTAATTCAACCTACTACAGTTAATTATAAGTCAGTCAACCTAGTAGGGTTATTGGAAGTAATTCAACCTACTAGCGTAATTAGAAGTAAGTCAATCTAATAGAGTTATTAGAAGAAATCCAATCTACTACAGTTTAATTATAAGTAATTCAACTTAATATAGTCGTCTGTTTTCCAGGCGAGCCTACAGGCGCAGGTGATAGCGCAGTACGTGTTCGGCTACGTCACCTTCGCCTACAAGTTCTCTAAGGAAAAAAAGTGAGCATCGCAGTCTGAACTTTTGTAATGTCAATGCCATTTGAGTCGCTATACCACTTATGTCGCCGGCCTTCGTTATAAACTATTTTATAAAGATAAATGAATCTATTATATGGCAATTGGACCCTAAAAATCTATAGTACTGATAAGTAATATATTGTTTATATTGACGAGTGGCCAGTTTAGTGTAGTATCTGCTGAGTGGCGACTGGCGACTGAGTCTTAACCTGTTGAAGTGCAGTAATCAATTCAAATTTAAGGTCACTATCAACACAATACCCGTTGAATTTACTGTTCAATCATCCGTTCATCATTTCCATGATGACACCTAAATCAATGCAGCCAATATATTTAAAAAGGACATTGTAGCACATCATTTTTTTAATATTTCCGATATTTGGAATCGATGTAGCCAATATATTTAAAAATAACACTGTAGCACACAATTTTTTTTAATATTTCTGATATTTGGAATCGATGCAGCAAATATATTTAAAAATAACCCTGAACCCATATTTTTTTAATATTTCCGATACATGATCGTTACGTTACAACGTTAATTACGTCTCGCCAGGCTCGAGGTGGACGTGTTAGCGGTCACAAAACTGGCGAGGGGCGACGTCCTGTCCACCGTGGACGGGGCGGGACACCGGGGGACGGGGGACGGGACGGGACACGACCTGTCTCTTATACACATCTAGATGTGTATAAGAGACAGTGGCAGACAATACGTGCACGTATCCATAGCAGACAATACGTGCACGTATCCATAGCAGACAATACGTGCACGTATCCATAGCAGACAATACGTGCACATATCCATAACAGACAATACGTGCACGTATCCATGGCAGACAATACGTGCACGTATCCGTGGCAGACAATACGTGCACGTATCCATAGCAGACAATACGTGCACGTATCCATAGCAGACAATACGTGCACGTATCCATAGCAGACAATACGTGCACATATCCATAACAGACAATACGTGCACGTATCCATGGCAGACAATACGTGCACGTATCCATAGCAGACAATACGTGCACGAATCCTAAGCAGACAATACGTGCACGTATACAAAGCAGACAATACGTCCACGAATCCTAAGCAGACAATACGTGCACGTATACAAAGCAGACAATACGTGCACGTATCTATAGCAGACAATACGTGCACGTATACAAAATCTACAATAAGTTCGCGGAACCCAACATTGATAATGGTCTTCTGCCTCACTCATTTAAAAATGCCCGCATTTTAAAGCTGATTTAAATGTATAAATTTTAATAGAACTTCAAGACGTGAAACTGATAAAGACTAGATAAGATTGTGTCAGACATCAGCTTGTCATCATGCCGACAGTTTAAGTCTTCAATACAGCATTTCTTTTAGATACGTTATATGCCAGTGTAGCTTTGGTTCTCTCGTATGAATCGCGTATATTTGTCAGAGGGGACGAACAATTATATTGTTTGAATATAGTGTAAAGTTTGTAATGAAATAAGGAACGGCAAATTTTTAAAAGTGTACCAGTGATTTTTATCATTGGCCGAAAGACGAACAAGGACAAAATTCAATAAAGGAAAATTGAGAAAATTTCCTGCCTTAATCTATGCATAATAATAAATTTATAAGAAACAAAAAGTATTTGCAGTATTCATAATAATAACCTTAATTTTAGACCCAATTTATATGAATCCTTATAAATATAATTCTATGGTGAAAATTTAAATTACCGCTGACTATTCGGAAGGTTATTGAGTCACTATAAAATTGGACACTTTTTAATTTTTCTTTCGTGATTTTTTCATACCTTATACTTTTCGCATTGATGGAAAGTTTGTCCGTTCTCTTGCGCTCTTCCGACAAATTATGTTTCCAAGAAAGCCTCTAATGATAAAGTTTCTAAGTGAAATATTTAATTTGAATCGTTAAACCTAAAGAATTTCCCCCCTTAACCTTCAGTAGGACAATAACGATCACCGTGTCACAAACAACAGCTGTTGCTCACAATCCCAAAATGACCTCGTAGCATTAAAATCACTTGATTGCTTAAATCGCAAGTTTATCAAGAATTTCAATGCAAATAAACTGCTTAAAAATTGACAATTTTTAGAGAATGAATTCATTCCTAAGAAATGGTGATTTTTTTCGGAGCTCATGGCAATCGTATACGCACTGCTGCATTAAAATAATAGTTATAGAAAATCATCTATTTCCCAATCAAAGTTTGATGTGATATAATAAAAAATTATATTATTATTTCGCTGGTAAATTGCAACACGCGATCCCTGACAAGGCTGAACTAGCCTGCTAGTATTGCACTAGTCTAAATTACTGCCCACACTGCACCACAAACCCCCATCACCACAATGTGGTCCTCGGTTCTCTCCTGCTGTAGCGACTGCTCCCTGTGGTCCCAGCCCTCGAGCCTCCGCAGCCAACTGCACGATGTCCACACTGTGGGGGGAGGGGGGTCAGTGGGGGGGGCACACACTGTGCAACATATATCACTACTGACATATATGTCAGGTGCTAAGCGTCTCATTCCAATTATATTATAAGTTTAGAGCATCTGTGATTGATGTGCAATATTCGCTAGACGCGGAAGAGTTTGATGAAACACTAGATACTGAGTCAACATCAACATCACGTGAGCAAGACCGCAATCATCTCTACGCATTGCCCTCCAGTTATCCATCTCGCAAGATTTTCTGAACTTTGAGATTGTTTGAGTTATTTTCCCAGTTCAAAATTTTCCTATTGACTCAAATTTACGCGTATCATGTACTTATTCCAACAAAATATCAGTATTCAATGCTGCCTGTGACTTTAAAATGAATGTTATGTCGTCACTTGTCACATTCAAAAACCTGCATTTTGATCAACCAACTTCATCTGAAGAATATTGTTCGATCCTGAAAATTTAAATCAAAGAATTCTCTGGTCATCAAACACCCGTGTTTAAACAAGCTTATTCTGTCATCTAATACAAAATGTATGTTTTAGATGGCAGAATTTGCTGATTTATACGCGTGCGATTAGTGACCAGAGAATTCGCTATTTAAATGATCAGAGGGTCAAACAATTCTTCAGATGACGTTGGTAGATCGAAAGGCAAGTTTCAGGAAGTAGGTTTAGTTTATTATCGACGTTTCGAATGCAACAAACACTCACTTTCAGCCATAAATATTGAAATTTTAAGAAGAGACAATAAATATTATTATCAAACACAAGAAGCCATAAATATTGAAATTTTGGTAGACATAAGTACATAATATATGTAAATAGGATACTACAGTAAAATTTTTTAAAACCACAAAATCACTCTGGAAACTCAGAAAATTTTACTGTTCTATCCTATTTACGTATATTATGTACTTGATTATGTCTACCAAAATTTCAATATTTATTGCTTCATGTAATTTGAAAATGAGTGTTTGTTGCATTCGAAACGTCGATAATAAACTAAAACAGTAAAACTACTTCCTGAAACTTGCCTTTCGATCTACCAACGTCATCTGAAGAATTGTCATACTCTGACAATTTATACAGCCCGACGCAAAAGGTTAGCCCCACCCATTTAAAACATCATAACACATCGAGTTTTGCGAGTTTTATTGTGCAAATGGTGGCAAACGAATCGTCTTGGTCTCAGTAATCAAAATACAATAGACTGTAGTGAAAATGTAATTAGTAACGGAGAAAATGAAAAACACATGTTTTTGCACCGACGCAAAAGGTTAGCCCCACTTTGTACACTTTGACATTTTAAGCAAAACAAAACATATGTCAGCTGCAAAACTAAAAGTTATTTACCNGGCACAGCATATATTGCGGTCCTCGGACCACTGCACGATGTCCACACTGTGGGGGGAGGGGGGTCAGTGGGACATGTATTGCGGTATTTAAATCGATTAATTCTCTGGTCATTAAACTCCCGTGTTTAATCAAGCTTATTCTGCCATCTAGTACTAAATATAAATATGTTTGATATGACCATTCATCCCCATTATGACCCCACACATTGGGAGTTAGTGGTTCTCAGTGGGGAACACAGTGGGGTTGGAACGACCCCACTAACCCCAATGGGGTTGGATCAATCCCACTAACACCAGTGGGTCTATAATGACCTCACTAACCCCAGTGGTGTTGGAATTACCCCACTAACCCCAAGAGGTTAAGGTGACCCCACTACCCCCAGTGGGGTTAGGGCGACCCCACTAACCCCAGCTCGCGGCTGAGAATGGAGATGCCCTCGTCCCGCAGGCAGGCGACGGTGATCTTGATGTGGTCCTCCTTGGCGGGCCAGAAGTACCGCACGATACGCAGTGCCCACAGCGCCAGCCCGCCCGTGCCCACCAGCAGCACACTGCATGTCCCTGCGCAGTGGGCCACAGCACGTTAGCACGCAGTGGGGAGGTTGGGGTTGGGGTTAGGAGACGGGGAAAGAAAGGGGTTGAATAAAGTAGTAAACAGAACTCGTAAAAATGGGTGCATTGAGATAAGAATTGGGAATACAAATGCTCTTAGTCACGGCCTGCTCTGATTAATGTACGATTTATCGGCATCAACTAGCGAGGAATTTACAGGCCAATTCGATGAAAGCCGCAGGCTTTGCCGAAGTTATAAATTTATAAACATCTAGCACATAAATTTACTTCTATTAGCTGCTTAAATAATGCTGAATGCATCTTACAAAAGTTTCCTTTTAGATTAATTCACCCCAAAAGCTTGTTTATTCGGAGCAAACTTACGGGCAACTGGACCATGGCCCATATCTCCTTTGGATTGGGAATTTATCTTGGACATCCCTTGACTCACCCTTGACTCACCTGCCTCACCCTTGTTCTTGATCACCTCTCGACTCACCTGCCTCACCCTAGTTCTTGATGACCTCTTGACTCACCTGCCTCACCCTTGATCACCCCTTGACTCACCTGCCTCACCCTTGTTCTTGATCACCTCTTGAACAGCTTCACGCGCCCTGAACACGGTGTTCATGTTCACCCCTTGACTCACCTGCCTCACCCTTGTTCTTGATCACCTCTTGAACAGCTTCACGCGCCCTGAACACAGTATTCATGGCCCAGAGCGCCCCTGAAGGCAGCATGGCAGCGACGCTCAGGCTCATCGAGTCAGGGATCTTGACGAGGAACTTGATCTCTGGTACTGCGATGTACTCCCCGTACCTGCACGTACGTTATTTTATACAACAACATTTTGCAACTTTTTCTTTTAACATAGTTATATTATATTTCATATATAGGTACCTACCTATTTTATATATTTTATTGGGGAGGTAACCATGGAACGAGGGATTTTTTGTTATCCAGATAGTATTTTATTTTATATATTTTATAAAACAACATTTTGCAACTTTTTATTATAAACATCATAGTTATATTATATAGTCATGTATATGCAGTACAGTATAAAGTTATAAACAACATTTTTGCAACAACTGGAATAATTAATTCAGTTTCGGTCAGTTCTTGATATTTAATAATATAGATTGTTTACTGAAAAGTTAACTTAGGAAGCGGACGAAGTACTAGAACTGCTGTAAAAAATCGTACTAAAAAAACTGAAATAATAGATTATATACTGAAAAGTTGACTTAGGAAGCATGACGAAGTAAAATTGCCGAGAAAAATCATACTAAAAAATAATTAAAATATAAGATCATTGACGAAGTATACTAGAATTGCTGAAAAAAAAAATAACTAAATTAATTTGGGGGTACTTGACAGGGGGTCAGACGTACCCCGGGGGGTGCCCTTCATAAGGGTACACGATCACACGGTCCCCCACACGGATGTCCGTGTCCCCCACACCCGTGCCCACGGCGTCCACGGTGCCCGCGACCTGCGGGAGGATGGCATGAGTATCCTATAGTGGGGGGCATGAGTATCCTCGTGTTCCACGTGCCTTATACCCCGGGGTGCCCCACGTACCTCACACCCCACGTACCTCACACCCCACGTACCTCACACCCCACGTACCTCACACCCCACGTACCTCATACCCCACGTACCTCATACCCCACGTACCTCATAAACCACGTAACTCATACCCCACGTACCTCACACCCCACGTACCTCATACCCCACGTACCTCATACCCCACGCACCTCGCACCCCACGTACTCATACCCCACGTACCTCATACCCCACGTACCTCATACCCCACGTACTCATACCCCACGTACCTCACTCCCCACGTACCTCATACCCCACGTACCTCACACCCCAAGTACCTCATACCCCACGTACCTCATACCCCACGTACCTCACACCCCACGTACCTCATACCCAGGGATGCCCCACGTACCTCATACCCCACGTACCTCACACCCCAAGTACCTCATACCCCACGTACCTCACACCCCACGTACCTCATACCCAGGGATGCCCCACGTACCTCATACCCCACGTACCTCATACCCCGGGAAGAGCGAGGTGTCCCTGACGCTCTGGTGTAGGGGGGACCCCAGGGCGAGGGCGTCGAGGCTTTTGAGGCTCGCGCTGGACGAGGCCGAGCGCAGGCGATAACACACACCAGCGTTACGGACCTGACCATGACAAGCCAGTGATAAAATGTTACGTAGTACTATGCTCATATTTAATATTGCTGAAATGGGTATTTAATAATCATGGATATTAAACGCAGAGCGCAGGCGATTCAATGGACTTTGTCCAAACACATGCCGAGCCCAGGCGATAACACACGCCCGAGTTACGAACCTGGGCCTATACTTTCAAAACTGGCTAAGTGAACGTAAGTACTTACGCTCTATTTTCTTGCCTATGATTGGTGGATTTTGCTTGAAAAGCCGTCAATGATTGGCTGATGAACTTACGATCTCTTAACTTTTTTTGTNGCCTTGACACGTGCCCTGCCTTGACCCACCTTGACACGTGCCCCCAGCTCGGGCACGTCGGGCATGGGCTCGTCGAAGTTAAAGATGCACTCCTTGAGCTTGTGGGAGGGCGACTCGATGCTCACTTGCTTCATGAGGCGCGCCATGTCGTCGCTCTCGCCCACCGAGTCTCTGCAAAAAATAACAATAAAAACATCATTTAATATATATTTTAATATAATGAACAACATCCATCGTTAAATGGACTGATTTATTAATGTTACGTATCTAATATTGACGATCCGCCAGCTGCGTTCTAAAGAACAATAACATTTATAATAACGTATAATGTGCATTTATAATCGAATACAATGATTAACATCAGTCATTTCTTACATTCAACTAATTAATATCATGTATTTTTTAAAATAATCATCTGCCGGCAGTGGAAAAATGCGGTCGGACCGCAATAAACATTAATAATAAAAAAAATTCTGCAAAGACTAGCAGTTACATTCATCAGCAAGTGTATGTAGGTAATTAAATATAATTGATACAATGAACAATTACCGTCTACTGGAATGACTTTTGGCCAATTGAAAATATTTGATTCTCATTCGATTTATTCGGTGAAAATAATGTCAACATATGCCCAAGTCAAAATAAAATTTTTGAAATTTTCTAGCAAGCAAATTTCACAGGTTGTTTCGTCACTGCAATTTCAAAAGTTCGTCAGAAGCGAGTGTTATTCAAGCGCGTATAACAAGTGGGCCGTGACGGCGCGTTATCAGTAGCTGATAAGCAGGGAGGTAACACGACCGGCTTATCGGTAGCGCTGATAACGTCGCTGCTTCTAGTGTTTTGTTTGAAGGAGAAATTTCGTGAGGAGGATAAGGTGCGTGACTAATATGACCTCGAATTTTAATATTGATAAAAACATCAGGACTTCAAAACCAATGAACAATATCGATCATGTGACGAGTAGACATATTTCAAGCAAGCTATAAACATGAAGGATATAACACTTGAAATACGAAGGGAAAACAAGAGAAAGACCAAATGTACTTATATACCGTACGAAAAGCAAAACCCTTAAGCGATAAAATCAAGGTATATATAACAGAGAAGAGTGCCGACGGTGGAAAATGGACATATCCAAATTAAACTGATTACAAACTAATTAAAGATAATACAGAAACCGTTAGCAAGATATACATGTATGAACAACTATCAATTCCAAAAACAGTTGTTCGGGACTGATAATAATCCCTGCAATTTTGAAATACCGTTGTCCCTAATCCCGATAAGAGTATTGAAGATTTGAAGATTAAGACTATCGTATGTACGGCAGTGGTGGGCACATTTCCGCTAATCCGCTAATCAGCGAAGCTAACTTTTTCCTTATCGGATTAGCTTTTTCAGAAAACTTTGAAAACCATCAGCGGTCCAATTATCTTCCGATAAATTTCCAATTAGTCCCGCTAACTGGCAGTCCGTTAAAAATGTTTAAAAATATCTTGTGATAGAAAATTCAGGTGTTAATATTTAGTGCTAAGTATCGTTAGCTGTGTGCCACACTGATGGCTGACTAAGTCAAAATACAGTATGTACGTCAACCAATATCGTCTTGTGTTACTGCCACATAATGTAGTACGTAACACAAGACGTGATTGGTTGACGCAGCACATGTGTTATAATTCTGCAGTTAGTTCACGTAACACGTTACAGCCTTACAGTGTAAGAAGGGACGACAAGGTACCTTTTCATAAACATGTCAATTTACCGAGTCTACAAGTTTTTGCAATGGATCACGAAAAGGTTTAGCATCACGAAAGGATTTTGACCCCTTCTAGAAGACAAAGAGAGCCAGCTGGCAGCTGCCTTCCACTCTAAGTTTCGCCTCTTCTGGCTGGAGAAGCATAATATAGCGGTTCCAGTGTTTACTAGGCCGTAGGCCTATCGCCGATTCTTAACATTGCAGAACATCCACAGCTTGTTGCGGTCTTGAACTTGCAACTCACTTCTTCAAATTTTCTATGCTTAACCGCCCGGGCTCCTCGCCGATTCTGACCAGAAACTGGCGCACAGAGCTGGGATCGAACCCGCACCTCTCTGTTCCAATCTTGGTACTCTGAACCTGAAAACTGGGCCGCCCTGCCCTGTTCCTTTATATACCTGTAGTATAGCCTCGTTCGTTTCAAAGAAACACAGCCTTGAAAAACAGCTCACACTTAGTTTCAATTATTAGACATGCGGAAATTAGGCATACGTAAAATGTTAATTAAGAAAAATTTTGGGGGCGTTTATGAGTGATCACGAATTATAATCATTCTTGCATTACAATATTCGATATCAGGAATTTTTTGAGGAACAAAGAACATGAGCGACCTATGAAAATCTAACTGTAATCGATAGTCGATGCTAACGTGGCGATATTCACCAGCTCAATGAGGGCAACAATCGGGAATGCGCACAGACACCTACGTGTAGACACCACCAAATTTGTGCGCCAGTTAGCCTTGAAAGGAACGCCTAGCATATTTCCGGATGACCACCAATCAGCCGCGGATTAAGCTATCCGTCGGTAACCTGCCCGTAACACCATCTTGTATTAAATATTAGGAGCTTTACACCACCATATTCTGAAGCGAATAGCCCAGAGAGTAATGGTTGTCCACCACTGAACATTGCATCGAATTCATCACTTCATACCCTGACTTTAGCTCGAANACCGTCGTAAGTGCTGCGACCGTCGTAAGTGCTGCGACCGTCGTAAGTGCTGCGGTGGTCGTAAGTGCTGCGGTGGTCGTAAGTGCTGCAGCCGTCGTAAGTGCTGCGACCGTCGTAAGTGCTGCGACCGTCGTAAGTGCTGCGACCGTCGTAAGGAATACGACCATTATAAATGCTGAGACAGTAGTAAGGGATACGTAAATCAGTCGTAAATTCAATTTTTTCCATTGAAACGTTTCCTCCTCCCCACATTTATCTCGACCAAGCCGCAAAGTTCCCCTAAATTGCAGGTCTCGATTAAATTATTCCCGGGCGTGGCTACCATCATTTTGCCCCTTTTTAGCGCATTTTCTCATTTATGGAAAAAATGCACAATTGTTTCAAAATTGGGAAGACATTCCCTTTCTCTGGTGTCCCCGCACCAAAGTTGTTTTGACTCCCCTCCCTCCCCCCGATCCAGTGCCGGATCCAATGAACCGAAATCCACATTTTGATAGGTTTTACTGTGGCTTATAGGCCGCACTTATCATTGCTTCACTCAAAAAAAGAAAGGCGATATTGTCCGAATACGTGAATAGCGACTCACTTTCATGCTTACGGTTTAAACAAAGAGCGGCCGTAGCACTGTATACGCCCTTCTGCCGGGCCAAACTGGGTCAGGATGACCTACCCAAGCTTAAAAATATAATTATTTTTTGGGCAGAACCCACTTATTTCTCTGACTGTAAGCTTCGTAATGTGAGTCAGCGAACGAAAGCGAACCTTCCCATTCAGTAGTCGTGCCTTCCCATTCAGTAGTCGTGCCTTCACATTCAGTAGTCGTGCCTTCCCATTCAGTAGTCGTGCCTTCCCATTCAGTAGTCGTGCCTTCACATTCAGTAGTCGTGCCTTCACATTCAGTAGTCGTGCCTTCACATTCAGTAGTCGTGCCTTCCCATTCAGTAGTCGTGCCTTTACATTCAGTAGTCGTGCCTTTACATTCAGTAGTCGTGCCTTCCCATTCAGTAGTCGTGCCTTTACATTCAGTAGTCGTGCCTTTACATTCAGTAGTCGTGCCTTCACATTCAGTAGTCGTGCCTTCACATTCAGTAGTCGTGCCTTCCCATTCATTAGTCGTGCCTTCACATTCAGTAGTCGTGCCTTCACATTCATTAGTCGTGCCTTCACATTCAGTAGTCGTGCCTTCACATTCATTACAAGGCAAGTCAGCCGCGCTCAGTCATGTTGCACAAACATCGAATCCAGGTCACAGATTATTAAACGCAGCTTATGTTATTGATATCCCATGCCAATTAATTATTTTAGAATCTAAAATAAATTAAAAATTCAAAATTTAGATTATAATAATCATTAAGCTGTTATTAAATTTAATCATTATGATTAAATGCAGTTTAAGAATTTGAGCTGCAGCTGCCTTTTACAGTATTTATTGAGGCTAGCAACAAGACGAAGTATTTATATCCACATATCATAGTAGTTAGGCTTTTAAAGTATTGCAAACACTTCATCACCCCACACATAAAGAAAAAAATTAAGCTGATCGTAAGCTCATAATAAGAAATAATGCAAAATAGGCAGTTATCATTGATAATCATTCTTGAATGAGGATTATTTAGATTCCGTCTGTCTTAATATTCTGATAATCAATCATGTACACAATTGACTAACTCGTCCTATCAACGGGCGGTTGATAAATACAATAAAAAAGTTGAAATAATTTTGAAATAACCAACTTTCCATGCTGTTTCAATCTCTTTCCATAAGTAGAGAAAGAAGGAAATTAACCGAGGAATAGAAGGGGGAATGAAGTTTAATATAAAAAATAAATATTAGTCCCGACTCACCCGACAGGCGCGGACGTGTTGAGAGGTTCACACAGCGGCATCGCCTTCGAAATTTCAGGCTACGCCTCCAACCAAAAGAACGCTAATTTCCAAAAAACTCACAGCAGAGCCAAAAATCTTATTCAAATTCCGGCTGCGCAACAGTTATTCAGTAATTTTAAGTAGTCCGAGTATAGATTCCGTTTAGAATAAAGTAAATTGAGAAGTTTGGTTGAAAGCTTAACGCACGATTCTTGAAAACGCACTATGCAGTGCTTACAGATTCACGGAACAATTATTCTCTGCGTAATTCACAACAATTAAGAGACTTGCGTCTACAACAGGTGGAATTATTTTGATATAAATATCCACATCTGATGCCATAAGTAAAATCACAATCCCACCAGACATGAGATGTCACCTCGACAAACATGTCGACCCGCCAGGCGTGAGTCCGCGTGACAAGTTAGGTTCTACCTCCGAGTCTCCGACTTCCATGCGGAAGGTTCACGGTGAAAAATACTTAAAATAGAACATCAAATTACATTGCTTGACCAGTAGTATAAACTTGACAGACGACTAAGCAAGTTATGGTGCTTTTAATAATTTAAAAAAGACAATTAAAGGGAAAATTCTATGGAATGAGCCAAGATTTCACGAAACATGTTAGGTTTGGGCGTGACGGATTCCCGATCCGATTACGGAAGAACAGTCCAGACTGGAAACGGGCATGCTGATACGAACGTTGAAGTTATTAGTATTGCAGCAAAGTTAAAAAAAACGGATAAAGAAATCGTTCGCACTACAGACAATCAAGTTAGGATTTATCTATTTCTTAACGAAAAACATGGATTTACGAGCATATACCGTACCGGCAATTAAAATTTCAGGCTGGTTACGTCATCCTAGTGCTACGCAGTTTCCTATCTTACTTTCTTCATGGACGAAATGTACAAAAATTGTGACTAATCCAATGCTATTTATTGTTTAAAGAAGTAAATCATTTAGTAAAGCTAATACCCGACTATTTTTAACGGCAATTACGAGCGATTATTGATCTGTCGTTGAAGCATTATTGCAGCTTAGTTTTCACTCCTTAGTCACGCTCACGCACGGTTTTCGAGAAAGCAAGCTTCCCAACGTAAAACTAATTCAACACTTCAAAAATTATTGTAATAAACACAAAAAAGTAACATTCTTCATGTCATTTAAATATAGCGCCATTGAAGAGTAAGACACTAGATTCGCCAATAATCACGCGAGCGCATTAGGCGAACTGGAACCCCCTGCCAGCGGTCTATCATGTGATCAACTGAAGCCAGGGCCCAGGCAGAGGCGCGCCGGGTGGCTGGCTGCAGCCTGCACGCCGCCATGACAGAGAACTGCCACCTAGCACTATGATATTTACGTTGCAAGCGATAGTTTATAAACATGACAATCTCGACAAACAAAGTGGAAAAGTAATGACAACAGAACCATAATTATGGTTCAGTTGTCTTCATTATAACCATGGGAATGATCAAGCTTGAACTTGCTACCGATATGTCCACACAGACACAGCCAGAAAAAGAATCTTGTTCTCCCCAGTGACACCAGTTTTTTATGTTGACATCATACACTTACTGTGCAAATAATCGAATTCCGATTCATTGCCTAACTACGCGATTAAATTCTCTAACGATAGAATGAAACAAACACTCTATGTACTTGATTACATGTGAATGGCTTTATTAAACGATTTACCAAAATAGAAGAAAGCCATCAGGTAAATTCGATACTTTGTTTCACGGCGACGACGTGCTGATGCATCAATGAAGGTGGGGGTGTTGGGTGCACCTCCCGCAGTTCCTCCAGCACGTTGCTCGATTATTTCATTGCAATTTGAAATAACTTCAATAAAAAGTGATCGATGAGTAAAATTTTGCAACTTTTCTATAAACTATTTACATTCAATGTAGATACATCCACAGAAACGGACCATTTCTGTACTCGAGAATTGATATAAAATTTGTCTGAATACCGATACAATTTTTACCCCTGTGTGGGTCATCCTGACTCAGTTTGGCCCGACATAAGGGCGTATCAGTGCTACGATCGCTTCTCGCTCGTGCAATGGGCAAGAAAATGTCGCTTATTTCAACACGGGGGAAAAAACGTACAAAAGAACTGAATTTACGATGAAATGATCGAGTGCAACGTATGTCTATCTAGATTCTAGAGGAAACGTTTTGAATAGCCCCTCTTACTCCTACCTTCATACCTCCTCCTACTCCTACCATTATATCAATTTCTGTACTCGAGAATTGATATAAAATTTGTCTGAATACCGATACAATTTTTACCCCTGTGTGGGTCATCCTGACTCAGTTTGGCCCGACATAGGGGCGTATCAGTGCTACGACCGCTTTTCGCTCGTGCTGTGGGCAAGAAAATGTCGCTTATTTCAACACGAGGAAAAAAAACGTACAAAAGAACTGAATTTACGGTGAAATGATCGAGTGCAACGTATCAGTCCATCTAGATTCTAGAGGAAACGTTTTGAATAGACGAATTAAAACGTACAAAATTAAAATTAAATTAATTAATTAAAACACGTCCGAATTTAAAAAACGTACAAAAGAACTGAATTTACGATGAAATGATCGAGTGCAACGTATCAGTCTATCTAGATTCTAGAGGAAACGTTTTGAATAGCCCCTCTTACTCCTACCTTCATACCTCCTCCTACTCCTACCATTATATCCTTCCATGGTTACTATGAAGTGATCACTGATTTACTAATGAAAGTATATACGAATAATACAGCTGTTCTTATAATGTACTCAAAATACATTATTTCGTAGCATAACACATCTGCTACAGCGTACAGCTGTAGCAGCAGCAGCAGCGAGGCCAGGCGGTGACGATGGATCGATACGGGAAGGCAGCAGCACGTGTACAGCTGCTGCTGCCAGCGTGATACTCAGCTGCAGCTGCAGCTGCTGCTGCTGCTGCCAGCGTGATACTCAGCTGCAGCTGTAGCTGCTGCTGCAGCTGCTGCAGCTGAAGCTGCAGCAGCTGCAGCTGAAATGCCCCCGTACCAACATTACAGTTTCAATAATCAAAAAGTTTCATCACACTAAGAATACAGTGTAACATTTATATATTCAGCTGCTTTGATACAGTGTCGCCCTATACATCTGTATAGTATACAAGCGAAAATAGTACATTGATGTGCATATTATATTAATGAGGTTGGTTCTCTACCTTCCATTGAAATGCCAAAATCAACCATGATATGCACTGAGAAAATTATGCGAGAGATTTAAAATAGCGATGCACTTTTTTCCATTTTCTGGGTCATCTTGACAAAGTTTGACCCAGAAAAATGGCTTATTAAGGCTCCATGTAGAATTTTACAAATATTATGATAACTTACCAAAGTTACCCTATGATGCGCTGCGGAAACTTTTCTAAGTTAACTGCACCAATGTTACCCTATGATGTAGGGTACCCAAATTTACCGTCTATGAGAGGTAGGTAACTGGCTGTAAAATACGTGGAATAAAAGAGACAATCAATTTCAATGTTTACAATGTAGTCCTACTTGTACAATGGAGTCCTACTTGTACAATGGAGTCCTACTTGTACAATGGAGTCCTACTTGTACAATGGATTCCCACTTGTACAATGGAGTCTTACTTGTACAATGGAGTCCTACTTGTACAATGGAGTCTTACTTGTACAATGGAGTCCCACTTTTACAATGGATTCCCACTTGTACAATGAAGTCCTACTTGTACAATGAAGTTCTACTTGTACAATGGAGTTTTACTTGTACAATGAAGTTCTTCAATGGAGTCCTACTTGTATAATAGGGTCCTACTTGTGAACACATAAGTGAAAATAAATCTGAAGAAAACACGTGCCACGCGCAGGTCCTATACGTAGTTTTTTTTTCGCAGTGAAAAAACTTTGTGGAGCAATGGTTTCTCAGCAGCGGCTGCCAAAATAGAGAAGTTTCTGTTCTTTTTCGTCTTGTCTTGACAGGAACGAGCGACGGGCAGGAGGAACTTTAATGGTTTATGCGTGAGAAAACAGTGAGTAAGTGTGACCCACTCTTGCTCTCTACTGGGCTAATTCAGTCTGACTTTTAATTATTATTTTTGACCCACTATTATTCTATGAACTTGTCCAGTATGTAAATTCGCGGTACAGGAATAGTTCAGATCAAGTCGCTCTCATTTGCCTCAACGAAGACATTAATGAGGCTAGACTTGCAGGATTGCGTATTTACGAACGCGTATCAATTTATGCGTTTTTTGAAAATGCGTATTTCTGTAAACATATTAATGAACGCGTACTTACGAACGATTAGTAACGAATGCGTATTTACGAACAATTATTTACGTATTTACGAACGCGTGTTAAGCCGTCTATGGATGACGGCTTCCGTACATCGGAAGAAAAATGTTCAGATACGCCACTAAAATTACCTCCTATTCAAAATTCTACCTATTACACGTTTGAATTAGAATTTACGACGCAATTTTTCGTAATTTATGGCACCTTTATTTAAGGAACGGCCTGAAGTGTCTGGTGTGGCAGCGACTCGTGCAGCGGTGCTCTATAGGACGCGTGGACGAAGTAAAGGAGAAGTAAAGCATAAGTTTTTCAACAGGCGCAGGATGAGGCTGATACACTAACTGTTGTTGTAAAACATACTCGCTCTTCCGAGAATCATGCTGAGAATCCTGATAATTCAATACAAAAGAATTCTATCCCGTGAAAAGTGATGTTCCTATTATGAAAATCTTGGGAATTCTATTCAAGAATCCTGTGAAATCCATTTAAAGAATCCTGTGAAATCCATTTAAAGAATCCTGTGAATTTCATCTTAAGAGTCCTGGGAATTTAATTTACAGAATTTTGAGAATTTAATCCTAAAATCCTGGGAATTTAATCCTAAAAATCCTGAAAATCCTATAAATATCGCCCTCAGAATCTTTTCAATTGTATTTAAAAGCAATAAAACATTCGCTATGGATTTCCTCAAGCAGAAATCTAGATTGCAAACTGGAAAAGTGTCATTTTACGACATTTTCTGCAGAATTCGGCTTCTGTTTAACTGTGCCGAAATTTCCGAAATGAAGTTTTTCTAGGCTTATTTGATTTAATTGGAACATTTGCAAGACATGGTCGTTTCGGATTTTTTATTTAAGCAAACATCACGCAGTATTTTTAATAAGTCTTACAAAAATGCTAAATTTATAGAAATCAGGTAAATTTTTGTCCGAAAAACTTGGAATTTTGAAACGCGG